GTGAGAATTTTTACGCAGTTTTTTCACTGTTAGAAAGAAAAAATTCTGCTCAATCGAACCATGTATTAACATTGAGGGTCTAAGACAGTTGTGACTGGGATGTAATTTATTTCGGCTCACTTTCTTATCAGTGCGACTAGTTGTCACCATTGTGTGTGCGTAATGCGTACCATGTGGCCTAAGCCTAAACCGAAACGATATACGCGCCCACAGCAATGAACAACCCGAAACAGTGAACAACCAGTCGCATTGCTCAAAAGTCGAACAGAAACGAATTATGGCGAACAGACAGTCGGGATGCAATCGTTCGAGTTGCAAATGTCCTGGTCGCTATTATCCGTCACCCTTAGTTGGTCAATTGAGGAAATTAATTGAATGTGCTGTAAATTGCTGATAGTTTGGACGGTTGATGTTCAGTGACGACTGTCTCTCCAACGCAGATGAGATGACCAGTCAGCTTTTCACATCTATAAGAAGTTAGAGTATGTAATGATTGCACAATTTTGGTGATTTACGGATTGATTAATTGAATTGAACCTTCCCAGTGGTAAGTAACTTTTATAAAAGTGAAAAGTGTACTGAGCTGGCGGAAATTGTATGAGTACACTCACCAGGCGTAATTTTGTCTTGATTCGCATGGTTCACTGAGTTCTTGCTAGCTGCGAGCAATTGTTACGGACGCTGGGAGTTGATATTTTCAGGTGAAAATGACCTCAGATTGTTTGTTCATTTGGTCATCTCCTCTTCAAACGAAACAGTCATGGTATGTAAATAATGTTAGTATGTGTGGTGTTCGTGGAGTGATCGCTTCACTGACCGATGGCTATCAGGCAAAATTAGTCTCAGTGGATACCGGAACAGGTAAAACGGCCGCAAAATGGAATCAAATGTCATCCACAACGATAGTGTCGATGGATTATTCACATACCAAACAAGGTTGTTTTGGACTCCTTGCTGATGAGCTCATTTCATTTTTCGACATTGTTAGCAACGTGATCTTATTCTGAATTCAGTGATATGATCGTACTGAGACGTTCACCACATGTAAGTGAAGGTCATATCGACTAATTGGTTATCTCACAATCAGGAATGAAACGTTGTCGGTAATAAACAAATCTTAATGATCGATTTCAGTTTCATTTGCGTTCGATAAGGATGGTGGCATTTGGCAGTTGGATTTACGCTCAAATGATATATGTCAGAATCGTTCATCCATGTTCCCGAATGAAAGCGCTGAAAATTGTGTTCACTACGGTACGATAAGCAATGATGGTCATTCAATCGCTATCGCACTCACTTTTGCAAATGAGCCCACGAAAGCAACGAATAAGAAGAAAAAGAAACGTCAAGGTGGTGGCGATCAATCTTCAGATTCCGATGTTGAAAGCGTTGAGGTTGGTTGTTTTTTTCGGATTCGTTTCACATAAAAGTTATTCCAATCGTTGCCATTGCAGTCGTTTTATTTATCCACAGTTGCTCAACCACCCACAACATTCGCAGATTATTATGTAATTCGTTTCGTTCGTTCGTCATGTTCACCTTACAATTTATATTGTCCATTGATTTAGCCATTCACACATTCTGTGCAGTTGTGGGATGCAAGAAATATGGCGTCCTGTCTCCATTCGTATAATCAGATTCATAATGACGATATTCAGGTGGGTAAATGTTTCCTTAGTTCTTATCGGACTTTATTTTCATAATTAAATCACGATTTCATTTCGAATACTGTGAGCATGTAAATGTTTTTGCTAAATCCTCTGGAAAACTTGAAGTATAAACAAGAGATCTTCATCAGGTACAGTTGTGTTGAAGAGCAAGCATGATTAATAATTCAGTTAATCGAGTTCCTGTTTGTGGATTGTTTATGTTTGCGAGCAAAAATAAGGGAATAATTTTGAAATTTGACGAAAAGTGGTTTTCAGTCTTTAACGTTTAGTAGCGATCAGCCGCATTTATTGGCATCAGGCGGTGCAGATGGGCTTGTGAATGTATTCGATTCGCGAATTGTAAACGAAGATGATGCACTACAGTCCACAATTCCGGTTTGTTATTCTTTTATGCTACATGGCTTTTTGCTAGGTTGAAATAAATGTCCTCTTCAGCCTTAAGTACCGCCGTTAATCCCTTGTTTCCTAAAACTACTTCAGGATTGCTTTGAAATGCTTTGCAAAGTTATCCTTATTGTTAGCTGCCGTTGATAAATCTGATATTTTCATCATGCCTAGACGATAAAGCATTTACATATTTCATATGCCGTTAGTACCATGTAAAATTACGTCTAAAATCGTGCATTCGGAATCGAAAGAGTATTTGTATCAGGACATGATGCTAACGATAAGACAATTTGTCAGTTGTATCGTTATCAGTTAAGAAGTTGGAACATTTCCCCAAAGTTCTTTACAAAACCTATCCTTCATTACTTTTTTCAAGGGTTCCATATTTCATTTCATTCCTTCTTACTTTCCGTTTCAGATGGAATCGTCTGTGAATCGAGTTGGATTTCTTTCGTCAAATCGAGCTTTTGCGATCACTGATGATAATTGTTTTTCTTTGCTACGCATCAATTCTGCGGACGATATTGACGTTATCTCCAGGTTACTTTAAAATCAACAAAGTGTTATTGGTTGTTGCACTATCGAAGTTATTTCCAATTTCGAAGCAGGTTGCATCCAATCTTCTTTGAGAGTAATAGTTACTAAATTCAGAAAAAAACAGCCGTTCAATGGTAAATTCATTGTCGATATTCTCGATTGTGATCAAAGTGATTGCTTTTATGTGATGGAAAGTAGTGGTGAAGGACACGCAACTGTACATATGGTCACTAATAATGGATCAGAAGTACGTATTGAAATTTATGAAATAAACGAGTAATCAGGTAGTATTGAACGTGAACTGTCCTTGCATGCTTAGGTCGACTGATGATTGAAACTCATTTGCGAATTCTCGTCGATGATTTAGAAATGTGAAATAGTTGAAGAGATAATCTTCGTGTTTTAAAAATGTTGATTAGTACTGAGGCTTTGTGATTAATACTGAGGGTAATTTTTTGGAGAAGCGAATGATGAAATTTTATTTTGAAATGGTTGATTTGAGACAAATATTGCAGATAAGTGTCGTGAGAGAATATTCTGTGCATAAGGATTTAGTGCGATGCGTTGATTACGATCTGAATCAACGACTGATGGTGAGTGGTGGAGATGATGCGCGGATAGTTGGATGTGAATTATTGCCACCGAATACGGATTTGTTCGTGGCCAAATCAAAGCCGAAAATGAAGGGCAGTTCACTGAAACGAAAGCCTTATGCACGATAGCAGCGTCGTCTTCTGCCAGTGTGGCTCATGCGTATTTGCTCGACAGACTAAGGTCGACGAGCCGATTAATCATAATAGCCATAAAATGCGGATAAAGGCTATAACTTCAGTTTGTGATAGTCATCAGTGATGGGAGTGGATATCTGTTCCACATGTATTACATTATTGTTGTCGACTTCGTTACATTGTTATTCCAAAAACAACTTGTTACCTCATAAATAACAGATATTTATTCAAAAACAATCTAATTCGAGCGTACATATGAACAGAGATGATTCATTGAAACAGAATCAGAAGAGCAACGATTACTTCATACCAGTTGTTCCGTCTGAACACGAAACACCGAACAAGGAACTGATGGGGCCAAAAATCAGAAGTGGAATAAATAGCTGAGGAACTTCGACCTAGAGCATACGTAGTAGGGAACTTGTGCTTGAGTGAGCTTCTTTCACAGGCCGGATGCAGCCATATAGTAAAGGAACGCTGAAGGCGGAAAATAGTCTTGTTGGTAAAAGAGTGCTGAAGTTGTTTTCTGTGTTCTTATTGATATATCATTAACTAGCGGTTCTGCGAAAGTCTCAAAATCAAGAACTTGATCAGATATGCATCGTATTCCTCCTTTCTTCATGTAATTTGAGACAAATTCTACATGTTGGCTTGTCTTCAAGGTAGCTTATTGTGATTGCGTTCGTTGTTCATATTTTGGTGTTTGTGTTGGCAAAGCGTCCTATAGCTGGCGTGATTCTTTGACCTGATGACAATGAAGTAGAAGGCTCCTCTCTTACAAGGGAAGGTCAAGAACTTAGCCCAACGTTTCGGGATGAGATGTATATCATATTGTAGGGCACATATAGCTGATTATGAATAGGCAAAAATTTTTTGCGGAGCAGAAAGGGGACGCGAGATATGGCATACCGAGGGATCTGACAGTGAGAGGCTGGGATAATCTGACCGTACAACATAAAATTAATAAGATAATCATCAATAATATGTACAGCAAATAGTCGTTCATAACGAACATTACCAGAAAAGGAATGAAATGAGCGCTTTAGAGAACAAATCACAATTTAACGAAGATATCAACGTACAATAGTTAGTGGCGACATAATTAATATTCGTTTGTACTGACTGCAATGTAAACTTGCAAACGATGTATACGCTCTAACTTATGAGTGAGTTCATTGATCACTTAAAGCAATTTGTTTTCGTTGAATGTTTGATGGGACTGAAGTGATACATAATATTGCTTTGATGAGAGATGGAAAACTGATCGAGATTCTAATGGAATAACTATCGACTTCAAGTAGTGTACAGAGGATTCTAATTTGGATTCTCATTGCATAATGTACCAAAGCATCAATCTTTTTTGTCTCTTCCCGTCTCGCTGTTTGCTGACGTTCACGAGACAGATGTTAACCCGGTTGTGGAAAGAAAATCGATCAACACGAAAGTAAGTTGTGAGTGAACTGCCAGCGAATTAGGAATCATTGAACAATCCGTTGTTGACGCGATATCAATGAGCTGAACTTGAACTTGTTGTACGACTCACTTGAGACGGTTTCTCACAATGACTGAGCGATATATTCATGTTGGTCGTTTGCTTTTCTCGATTTTCCCAACAATGCATTAATCGTTTTGACTGAAACTTAAAGGCGCTCACTTTAGGGGAGAAACGTAATGATATAGTGGTCTTTTTTGAGTAGAGAACTAGTCAGCACTGTGTGCTTTTATTTGATCAAGCGCTTCGATTCGTATAGCTGATAAGGAACTCTTACAACCATAATTTCAGTGCAATTTGAGTGATGCAAGTGAAGTAATTTGATCCGTTTGTTTCACTAGTATCGCTATAGTCTGCAGGGGGAGTTTTTGATATTTAGCTCGGCTCATATTATGTTCTTATGTCCATGTTGTGATCAAGTAGAAGTGCCATTCGTGATTAATATTCAATTCAAATTGTCACAATTGAAACCATAAGGAAATATCAGTTACCTTGAAACACATAATGGCGATTATAATTCCACTAAGTAAGCATCCAATTATGATGCATATGATACAGAAAGCAGAAACTGCCTTTTCAACATTTAGAAGTTGATCGTTAAGCGCCTTTAAAGTACTATCATCTGCCTCGATTGAACTGAACACTGATAAAAGGGGTACAATGCAACTCCTCATCCGAGATAAATCCATACTGAAATCTTATTTACTTATATTACCATTTCAGCGATGCATAGCAACCACCGGAACTCCGCTATAAATCCATTACGTTATTGCGTTGACAAGAATATAGGTACGCTGAACGTGTTCGCCGCATTTTTCCTGCTAGATTGGAATTACTAGAGTAGATAAATGACCGTAGATGGATTGGTAAAATCAACAGTTTGTCACCATCCCTACTCAAACAATGCATGAATTTACAAAAGATAGTTTCATGGCAATGAAAAGAAGAACTGATGCTGCTTACCCCATAGTTATATCGTTACCTTTCCACATAGCGATATTCACTTGATAACGTCTTTGTACTGATAGTAAAAGTCCGGTCCTCTGCAATTGATTCTTTCATAGCACTCGCTCGACTCAAGCATATTGATGTCGTTCAAGAGGCAGTAAGTCAGTTCTTCTTGTGTCAAAAGTCCATCTTTTGTGAGAATGAAAAGTCATAAAGCATAAAGATATTAGATGAAACAAGCCGGTTCCAATATCATCTCGATATCATCGTGATCTACTGAAGAGGCATTCAAGCCGATTACAGATTCCTTCACTTGATCATCTGCGAATAAAAAATTTGGCAAAGATATCACTATAGGTGGTTCTCCTGAAATATCCAAATTTGTATGGAGCACTTGTGACTTTCATTATTCGGTCAACAGAGCATGCATACTAGCCGATCATATACTAGTATACCCATCTACAATCTGGATATGCTGAGCTCGTTTAGTTGTACAGCTATGTGAACCTTTGTGATACGAGATTAGATGAAATATTTATAAAATCTTTCAAAATAATTATCAACTCAAATGAACAATCGCTAGCATGGTAGTGATGATATACTAGTGAAACATTGCAAAAATTGCTAATGTAAGCTATTGAAGTGATTTGAAAGATGCACTGGCAAACCATAAATATAAGTGAAAAATCTTTGAATTTGAAATGGATATAATCCGATAATAGCACAGAGATCAAATGTGTGTGGCAAAAGAATTTAACACAATAGAATTATCAACTGAACTGATCGATACCTTTCCGACATCTGCTGATATCAATCAATCCCTTCGGTAAACATTCCTCATTTTCCTTGAAAAACTCTTTGCCTGAATTGTAACAGAACGCTTCGTTATTTGGCTCATTCCAGTCGAATAATTTCGGAGGCACCGTAAATCTGTATGCATTTATACCCTTATAAATCACTTCCTTATCGAATGTGAAATGAATCGACCTGAAAATGTTTCTGTATTCTCACTTTTCAGTCATACTTTCGCTCCCCCTAGAGGAACACGATACTCTACGGATATAATCGCCATATTCAATATTTTCAGATATTTCAGAGAGAACTTATTTGTATTTGAAAGGTATCAATGAGAGCATGTTGTACGTCATAAATTTTACGAATGAATTCAAATAAGAACCTGCACAAATCTGGTACGAATATGTACAGTTTGCTGGATTTATCAATGAACGGTTTAAACAAGCTCCCATCTGAACCATTCAACATCCTGAAAGATTTATTTTATCAACGGTGACAAACGGAATGGGACTTGGCGAAAACGGTTAACGAAGACACGGACGGTCACAGGGTCACTGACACAACCGCACCCATACAAAACTGGTATTGAATGAATCCTCAAGAAATACAGCACAGTCCAGGTATCGAAGACCTCAAGCATGTGCATTTCGCATCAAGTTGAAGCGGACGAACTTAATGCGCAACCAATGAAGAGTCCTCGCACAACGCAAAAATGTTGCAGAGTGCAGGATCCCGACATATTTCTAACTGGTGCTCCTTTCATGGTTTAGGCATGTAGGCGCAATATTGAAACACCCAGTGTACGTGCTCTTAGTCAGATTCCCCTTAAGCGACCATTTTTATGATTATTAACGCAGGGAATTACTGTGGTCATAGAATCGCCAACATATTGTGAGCTTGGAATATGCACTTGGCAGGAGGCTATAACGGGCCCTCTTATGGTTTAGATACACAGAGAATAACTTCACTCATGCGATAGCCGATATATCGAAAACTCAGACTGAGTACATGGTGGAAAGTTGAGAAAGCCATACTAATTCAGAGGAATATTAGTTCGTTTCGGTGCTTTTTTATTGGAGCGCACCTTTGTGGGAATTGCAATTATGCTGACCATCCATGGTTAAAATAAAAGTCAAAAGATAAATTCATCGACATTCCAAAACAGAAACGTAAATTCTGTATGCAATCATGTACACGAAAACCACTCCTAACCACAGACTCTCAAATCGATTTGGAAAGATTTGCGTGCTCAATCAAAATTCTCACGAAAAACGATGGCATTCATTAAATGTTGACATATTCACCTAAAAGGCAGCATGCATTCACTGATAAGTGGATGTATTTGATGAGAAATCGAACATTACTCATATTTTCCAATCTAAAATGGGATTTCGATGGTTGCTTAACTATGGCTAGAAACAATCAGATATAAGCGGTGATTAGTTTAAATCAAAATTACACCGAATTCCAATCCTAAAAATTTCAGTCACGTCGCAATTGCGTTCATTAACTCACGTAGCGAATTCGCCTGACCACCACGCCTCTGGCACAGAACTTTCGTCATTCCACGTTTGAATTTGACCCAAACTTTCACCATCGTCATTTTCACCGGTGGAAATTTCAAATGCATTTGATTTGGTATTGTTGATCTGAAAGTGATCGTCGTGAAAACATGTCCGATAAGGTCCGATAATCCATAAATTGCTGGTCATGTATTAGAGGAACACTGAACAATGTTCTCAGCAGAAGGAAGCTTGAAGATCTAATGTAAAACTCACATGGCCGAGGAAGGCGATTCGGTCGGGGAGATCGAGTACAGCTTCACATATGAAATTCATGAACGGAATCGCACATACCTAAGAAATGTTCAGTTGTGAACGTAGCTTCATATGCTAAAACAGCACAGTAGAACAGTGGTACTCATAGAAGTAGTAATGACAAGGAGCAGTGAAGAAAATTAAGCAATAGTAATGTAGCGGATAAGTTTCTGGAAGATATCATGAAGTCGCTGCACAACATCTAATCAACGAGATCAGGAAATGAACAGAAGAAGTATATGAAAAAAGACCTTATCAAGGAATGGATCCTTATATCCTTTGAATAACATATCACGAACTGATACTTCAAGAAATGGTGTTTGCGAAGTTAGTGCAGCTTGAGCTGCTTTCATACTTGGATTCGATGCGGCTTCCACAAATTTCTGAATTCACTGATCACTTACGAATTCGAATAGCACATCCAATGAAACATACAACCGATAATCTGTTGTTTTGAAATTCATCTTTAAATGAACATCTCAAAGATCGTGTGGGAGAGATCATACTAACCGAAAAAAACGTAACAATGATGGAGATAGTGTGAACTGTCTTTCTAGAAGCCTTCAGTTGAAATGTCGAATAATCAGTAACTTTTTCCGATAAAAAAAAGTTACTTTCAAGCATTAGTTGGAGATCAAAGCTGAACAATTACCTGAAAAACTATATTCGGTATCCAAACTCTGTGATCTAAAGAACAGTGATCACACGAATGATTTTGGTTATATGTGAATATATGGTAATTCGCGTATTTTAAAGTACCATTACCATGCTTAAGCACTTCTCGGCCTATTTTGTGATCATAAGCATATGGACCAATCGCGCTCATTTCTGGTTTACTACCGTTCAATATCTGAATGTTGTCATTTTTATGGTTAGAACTGGAGGTCAATGAATATCAACAACATCTTTTTGAAGGTGAACTTGTGCAGAGGGAATCTGCACTTTCAGTTTCGGTTGATAGTATCAACTTCTTTTGCATTTTCACAAATTACATTGGAGCGCTAGTTGAAAGAATATTTCTGTGGGATGTTGCAACGATGGAACTGAATGATACATTAAACAGTGATACCTCGTCTGGGTTTTTTACAGAATAAACGAACACATTCATTGTGCCTTTATATGGTGGATTGACCCACTTTTCAAACCTTTCACTGTTCTCCTTCACATTTGATAGCTGAAATCGATTTCTTTAGGGCTCACAATAAAATCACATCGTGAACGTGATGGACAAGTGAATAGGCAGTCGGTGACGGATAAAGGAACGCTACATAACTGGCTGATCATTTAATGTACTGAATAATATTTAGAAGGGATCCGGTACCCCTCCTGGGGGACTTCCGTGACGGGTTCTGATGAATACACCGTGAGTGTGGGGAAGTTTCAGTTCCTACGAGTGCACCCGTGGAGGCGGAGGACCTTGACGCCTGAATGAATTGATTTGCGATAGAATATGAATTGGACAGGTAGAACAATATTCGTGGTGCGTTTAACAAACGCACAACTGACTTTTCATTGTCATTGTTGATATGACAGTACTTGTTCGGCTTCTTTTCATTATCACTACTTTCTAATCATTGGCATTTGTAACAGATAATTAGATAATAGATAACAAGCCAAACCATAGCTTGGCTCAGGCTCACAACACCAATGACATTGGTACACCACTCGGTTTCGAGCGAAACTTTCTTCCGCGAACGGGAGTCGAGCCCGCTACGTACTAATTACCGGTTGGGGCTCTACCTCTGAGCTACCGCCGAGAACGTTCAGCGTCCACCGAGTGGTTGGGTTAAGATCGCAATCAGTTCTTCAGTGCACGTAATGCGAAAGTTTTGCACGAAACCGAGTGGTGTATCAATATCATTGGCATCAGTTTCAATCAAGCTAAAATCAGGTGTGACTTATGACGTGAGTTACTGATACTTCATTTTTCTACAGTTTATGGGGGGGGGNCACCTAACGCTATTTAATTCACTGGCATAGCCATTTTTATTTTATGCTGAATCATCATAAACGAAGAGGATCAACGGACGTTACTAGCAGATGAAGGGTGTTTGGAACAACCACTGCTTGCACGAGAAAATTGAATGTCGATTCTGAGGTTTATGTCCTGATAAATTGCAGGATCTCGGAATCTGATGGAGCATTGCATTTAATATGATTTTGGTGGTGTGTTTATCTTCAATCACACATCAACCATTCCCAAATCATTTACAGTTAACAATTTTAAATAAGGGAATGTTTTGTTTCCTTTTCAAAACTACTGTTACCAGGACGATTTGTTACCTAACAATAAATTGTTCTCCATGTCACTATCAATGTATTGATTCAATAAGAATGTCTTTAACATATGACTATACGATATTTTTTCCAAAGTTGCTGAATCCCTGTATTGAAAAACAATATCGGGATTTCATAGCAACCTCGGGGTTGAAAAATGGTTGGAATTTTGGAAACACTAGGAACAACACATGTTCAGATGGCATGATTGCTGATCAAGTACCAAGTACTGATCAACTACTCTAGCCAGTTATCGTTGCTGTTGCAACTCACGACTAAAGTTGGCGATCCTATTGCTCCTTATTACAAGTATGCAGTTTTTTGCATTTTAAACTGGTGAATCTGCAATCCCGACGGGCGATAGAGCTAAAATGCATCAACAGGAATATAAATTCAACTGCGGGGAAGGTGCTTGAGTAATTTTAATACTCCGCCTTGATCTGTGACTGAGGAAAGGAATGTTCGCTATTCGAGATATATTTTTAAATGTGGCAAATAAAGACGAAAACAACTATGCAAAAGACGAAAACAACTAGTTTGAAGAGAGTGATGCTAATCCGACACAAAAATTTCAAATGTTCAATAAGAATGTCTTTAACATATGAGGGGCGATAGAGCTAAATGTTCACAAACATTGTTAGTTGCAAAAAGATAAATCATAAAAATATGTCGCAACCATTGCGTAAGAAATTAAAATTATTCATTTATGCATCAAAGAATAATTATTCACCTTCTTTATCCGATTCTCCAGCATTATCGGGAATATGAACAGGATGCATGTGCCTGTACAAATTAACAAAGTTCCAGCTATAAGTAAAAACCATTTAGCTATTCTCCAGAAACCGTTTTCGTTTGATGGCATTTTTTTATTTTTCATAATAGCAATACCTGAAAATTGTTCGACTTCATCCAAGCATGATGTTCGAAATATTGCATGAATACGAACAAACAAGAAATAATATATGGAATGGAAGCGTTACGAATGATTAGTTGATAACATGGCTAACTCCGATGCTATATTACATACTGTATAATACATTGAGACAATTCTTTACGAAAACATCCCGAAAAGATGAGGCGAAGATGAGACTTAATTAAAGATCAAAATATCCCATTAAGCGGTAGCTTAGGCATAACTGAGAGTGCTTTAGACTTGACACTTCTCGCTTAGCGAAGAGAATAAAAAGAATTCAGTTGGAATGATCTCGCCATCTAGTCAATACGCTATTGCAGAGTGCCATTGTGAGGATACTTTTCGTGAATATGGTTCAACGTATAAACTCGAACGTCGTCACATGAATCATCAAAAAGTGAATTTATGAAAGACGTAATAGCACATGCGACCAAAAAGATGAAGACAACCATGCAGGAACGAGTTTACATTACTACGCGTTAGTATATATAAAATTGTTTGAGTTACAAGATAGAGAGAAGCGCATTGCAACGATTAAATTGAACAGAGTTCAACATGATTATGAGGCGTTTACGCTCATGTGCATTAGTAACTGGTCGAAGCCTCGTTCGGTGCACTCTGTTTGCCCAAAGCGATCGGAACCAGAGCATCTCATTTGGAAGTGTCACTTCTTACACTATCTTAAAAACAATGCTCTTCGAATCCAGTCTCTACAGGACATCGCGCTCCATCTCCTCATTGTCCAACCGAGGATGGTCAAGAACGAGCATGGTCTTTTTCAGGTAGAGCATGAAATAGTTCGGTGACAACATGATTCGCATCAGTTAACCGAAAAGATTCATTCATGTAAAATATTATCAGTTGCACCGATGCAGACCCCGAAATACAATATCACTATGGTTAAAAGTTATGCAACCTCATCGGTCATTTGATTTGCGATATGTTCATTGAGGAAGTCTGCAAAAAATCAGAAAAAAGCAACTTGTAAATGGTCGCGATGAACCAATGTCGTCAGACTGGTTTTTTGAAGAGGAAAGAAACCTGAGGGCCACAACCAGTTTAAGAAAGGAATGATTGAGAGGAATGCTTCTGAATACGTCACCGTTAAAGTTTGACTAGTTGTCGGGCCTTTCATTTCTTCTCCCCCCCTCCTCTCCGTCACCCCCATAATACCCCTATAATAATACCGTAAAGATTTATCTGGCTAGAATTTATCGATTATTTATAGAGATTTCATATTTTTGAATAGAAGATGATATTAGAAAATGGAATCTTGTCCCAAAATTATGAATCTATCGTATCGTGTTTTGTATTCAATGTTGAAAACATCATTCACAGTTTTTCAATATGAACGCTCTATACTCTGTCTCATCATGTGCTGCAACAAAACAATATGCCTGAGTTTAAAGGAAGAGGCGGCAGTTCATCATAATGATTTGAAAGCAATCACATAAAAGGATCAGAATTCACGTTGCAAATAGAACGAATGTAAAATATTGCTCGACACAAAATGCATTGTGCATAATAGTGAGTAGGTTAGAGCTGGATGGACTGTTGATGATGACATTCGAAATGTTACAACGTTGTTACCAGAAAAGAATCGAAGAATACGTTGTTGAGCGAGCAGAGTAGCGCAACCGGTTGGTTGTTCAAATTAGCCGTATTTGGTGTTTTCGACAACTCCCAGTCGATTCATCTCAAACGATAACCTATCCAAATGAGTGATTGATCAGCTTAAAATACTGCTCAACTGGTTCATATGGTTAGATTACTCTTTAGCTGATTCCAGCATTCCGAGAAACACCTGTAGTTGAGGTGCTGTTCTATTAATATTGTTTCAGTTCATGAACGAGAAAACAATCGTATGTTGTGAGGTAATTCTAAGCGAACGAAGAACTGACTGATTGATCACCATATTCCGTTTAAATATCACACTCGACCCAATTGAATGAACTGAAGAAGTCGAATTAGATTGAACTATATCATCTTCAAATTACAAATGGAACGACATTTAAGTAAGAGTAACGCAAATGTGCTTTATGATGGCATTATTGAGAATTGATGGAGAGTTATGCATATGCACAATGGATTAATAAGTTGTTTGAATGTTTTCGATTTGAATACCACTCGAATATATATCAATAGCAAATCGGGTATATCGCTAGAAAAAGGAAGTGTGCACGCAAAATACCTCCGAATGTTGCTTTTATACCTACGATAAAGAACATATGGATTGTCGAAAGCAGTTATTTGGTTGCATACTGCCGTTTAGGGCAATTATGTCCTCAGAAAATCGAGCAATTATTTTGCTGAATACGTAGTGCAATCCACTCAATGCACGGACTGTTCGAATTTATCGCCGCCCAAAACACTCAAATTCTCACTCGATATTATTTTCACGACTTTGCACTTTTTCATTTTTCATCGAATCATTGCTGAACTTCAATAAATTTTTATTCTCTTATCAGCTGGAAATCAATTCCGCGCCACTAACTCTTGGCTCGTTTTTGTTGAAAAATTAACTCGTTCAAATCCTCAATAAAATTCACAGCCAGTTCCTGTTATTATATGCTGAAAAGTTTAGTACTATGGACAGTAACTGACATCAGACTTTTAATAATTCTTTTTCATGTAAC